GGCTTTTGGGACCAAGGACAGGGAAACCACAGGTCAGTTCTCCTGAAGTTGTTGTTCTCCTAAAAGGCTTATGCTGTCATCCATGTACGAAGTTAAACTGTATATATTTATCATGGCATGCAAAGCTTTAGTTGCGTGTATATTTACATTACGCACGACCCTAGCACGACCAGCCACACGAGGAGATACGGCTCTGAATTCCTCTGGTGCTGATAAGGATAATTCCGATAAGAAGCAGACTGAAGGCATGCTCTTTGGAAGCAAGGACCGAGAAACCTCAGGTCAGTTCTCCTAAAGTTGTTCTCCTAAAATGCTTATACTATTATCCAAGCACTGTGCTAATATGTGCACCTTGGCATGGCATGTAAAGCGTGTGTTCTGTGTATATTTACGTTGCCTCTGACCCCAGCACCATCAGGCACACGAGGAGTTACACCTTTGAATTCCTCTATTGCTGATAAGGATAAATCAGGGTCTGACAAGAAGCAGACTGAAGGCATGCTTTTTGGAGGAAAGGACCGAGAGACCTCAGGTCAGTCCTAAAGTTGGTCTCTTAAAATGCTTATACTTTCATTCACGCAAAATGTGGATATGTGTATCTTTAGCATAGCGTGTACAGCGTGTGTTCCGTGTATATTTACATTGCTTATGACCCTAGCACAACCAGCCACACGGGGAGATACGTCTTTGAATTCCTCTAGTACTGATAAGGATAAATCTGAGTCCGATAAGAAGCAGACTGAAGACAAGGCTTTGGGGACCAAGGAGAAAGAAACAGGTCAGTTCTCCTAAGGTTGTTGTTCTTCCAAAATGCTCATACTGTCATCCTCGCACAATGTTGATGTGTATCTTTAGCACGATATGTACAGCTTGTGTTCCTTGTATATTTACGTTGCTTATGACCCTAGTACGACTAGCCGTTCGAATAGATACTGGAGCTGATAAGAAGCAGACTGAAGACAAGGCTTTTGGGACCAAGGGGAAAGAAACCTCAGGTAAGTTCTCCTAAAATTGTTCTTTTAAAATGTTTATACTGTTATCCAAGCACTGTGCTGATATTTGCACCTTTGGCATGGTATGTAAAGCGTGTGTTCGGTGTGTATTTACGTTGCTTATGGCCTTAGCACGACCACCCACACCTGGCGTTGTCAAGGATAATTCTGGGTCCGATAAGAAGCAGACTGAAGAAAAGATTATTGGAACCAAGGACCGAGAAACCTCAGGTCAGTTCTCCTAAAAAGCTTGTACGGTCATCCACTTATAATGTTGAAATATATATCTTTAGCATGGCATACAGACTGTCATCCAAGCAAAATATTGAAATATGTACTTTTAGCGTGACATTAGTGTGTATTCTGCGTATATTTACATTGCGTATGACCCTAGGACGCCCAGCCACACGAGGGAATGTGGGAAATTCAAAGTCCGACACGGAAGACTCCAATGACAAGTCGGAGAACAAAGACGTGTCAAGTTAGTTACCGTGACAGCCTCTGAAAATTATGTTATGATGTTTACAAAGGTCTCATTATCCCTCATACATACAGGCAGTCCCATGCTCGTACTTTGAGTTGACTTGACCTTAGAGAAATCTAAGTAAACTCCTTTAACCTCTGCAGAGCGGCCAGCAACCGGCTACACTCCTTCAGGTCTCGGAAAGGACAACTCCGGGTCTGATTCGAAGGACTCTGAGGACAAGACAGATAAGAACAAGAACCAGGATGCTTCGGGTCAGTTCTTTGTCTGTGTTGGAGCAGTCACTCTTTGCTTGCTCATATTTCGTTGCTAATCGTTCTGATCAGTTTAGTGTTGTATGCTCTCCATACATATATACATACATAAAATATGTATGCAAACACATACTCATACACAGGCATACCCATATATCATATATATATATATATATATATATATATATATATATATATATATATATATATATATATATTATATATTATATATATATATATATATATATATATATATATATATATATATATATATATATATATATGTGTGTGTGTGTGTGTGTGTGTGTGTGTGTGTGTGTGTGTGTGTGTGTGTGTTGTTAGTATGTGTATGTATGTATGTATATATGTATGTATGTATATTATATATTATATATTATATATATATATATATATATATATATATATATATATATATATATAATATATATATATATATATATATATATATATATTATATATATATATATATATATATCATATGTATATGTATATCCTATGTATATATTTTTTATATATACATATATGTGTATGTGTGCATATATGTATATACACATATAAATAAATATATATTTATAAATATATATATAAATAAAATATATATATATATATATATATATATATATATATATATATATATATATATATATGTATGTATTATGTATGTTAAAACTAAGAGTGGCCCTCCCTTCCCAGGCCGCCCCGCCACGAGAGGAAACCAGGGTCTGGGCAAGGACACCATCGGGACGGAC